AGGGAGGGAGAGGGTTATTCACTAACTAGACAGGAGACAAGAATTATCTTAGCTGAAGGGAAGGGCAGCAGACATTACAGAGAAAGTCAGCACAACTGGACTAAACTAAAGCTAAGAAGTTTCCTGAACACAACCCAACACTTCGAGGAACAGAGTAGCAGGGGCGGGAGTCTGGGGACCATGGTTTCAGGGGACATCTAGGTCAATTATCATAAAAAAGTTTATTAAGAAAATGTTCTGCATCGCACTTTGGTGAGTGGCGTCTGCGGTCTTAAAAGCTAGCAAGCAGCCATCTAAGATGCATCAATTGGTCCCAACTAAACTGGAGTAAAGGAGAATGAAGAATACCAAAGTCACAAGGAAAGTATTAACCCAAGAGACAGAAAGGGCTACATAAACTAGAGACTACGTCAGCCTGAGACCAGAAGAACTAGAAGGTGCCCGGCTGCCACCAATGACCGCCCTGAAAGGGAACACAACAGAGAGTCCCTGATGGAGCAGGAGGAAAGTGGACTGCAGAACTCAAATTCTAGTAAAAAGACCAGACTCAATGGTATGACTGAGACTGGAGGATCCCCAGAAAGCATGGCCCCCGGATCTCTGTCAACCCAGAACTAAAACTATTCCCAAGGCCAACTCTTCAGACAAAGGTTAGACTGACTATGGGACATAAAATGACACTCGTGAAGAGTGTGCTTCTTAGCTCAAGTAGATACATGAAACTAAATGGGCAACTTCTGTCTGGAGATAAGACAAGAAGGCAGAGAGGGTCAGGGGCTGGATGAATGGACACGGGAAATCTGGAGTGGAAAGGAGGAGTGTGCCGTCACAGTATAGGGAGAGTAATTAGGGTCACATAACAATGTGTGTATAAATTTTTGTATTAGACATTAACTGGAATTGTAAACTTTCACTTAAAGTACAATAAAAAAAAATAATAAAGCTTTGCATTCTAACCCCAAGAAAGAGTTAGAAGTAATTTTAATAATGAAGTTTGATGCAGCTGGAAGAAGATAAAGTTAAGGTGTCCATCTTAACTTCTTGAAGTTACAGTGACCTATTTATATCTCTAAAGAGCCCTAGTGAAGCAGTGGTTAAGCACTCGGCTGCTACCAAAAGATTGGCAGTTAGAACCCACCAGCCGTCTGCAGGAGAAAGATGTGGCTATCTGCTTCCATAAAGATTACAGCCTTGGAAACCCCGTGGGGCAGTTCTAGTCTGTCTTATATGGTCGCTATGAGTCGGAAATGACTCCAAGGCAACGCGTGTTAGTATCTCGAAAAACAATATACCCAAAGAGAGAAACTCAGTGAGCTTACTGCGATTTATTTACATAAACAGAAGTTGCCGTATTTGTTAATTACTTTGGATTAGACTCCAACTTATGTAGATCTTACATATAACAGAATGAAATGTTGTCCAGTCCTGCACAATCTTCATGATCTTTGATATGTTTGAGCCCATCGTTGCGGCTATTATGTCAATCCATCTCACTGCTAGTTTTCCTCATTTTTGCTAACCTTCTACTTTACCAAACAAATTATCTTTTTCTAGTAATTAGTCTTTCCTGATGACGTGTCCCAAGTAAGCAAGTCGATGTTTCACCATCCTCACTTCTAAAGAGCATCTGGTCGTATTTCTTCAAAGACTGACTTGTTTGTTCTTCTGGAAGTCCATGGTACGTTCAATACTTTTCCATTTTATTATGAAAATATGCAATTTTCAAAAACAATGTGGTGCAAACCTTGAACAAATAAAGAAGATATAAAGAAGGGTTTCTATCCATTTTTTATTACATATCAGGACATTCAGGCATAAAATTGTATAATGAATAGTAATTTTAAATCTTATTGGGGAATATTTTTGTTTCTTAGCTGAAAGACACTATATTATTTGATTTATGTATATTAGGTTCTCCATGAATATTGTTTGAATTGAATTTATCTAAGAGCAATGAGTAGAAAATAAAGAAATATATTTTTCAGCTCAATATAAACAAGAACTATCTAACATTTTCAAATAAAGAATAGTGAGAATTATCAGAAGCTAGATGACCATATGTGGAGAGTCTATACGGAGACTCCAGCAATAGCGGAAAATTTAATTAGATGACCAGGAAAATCAGCTTAACCCTCCAAAGCTCTGTGATCCTATTTCTGCAATTTCACCCTGGACAGAGTACCCTTCAGAGCCTGATGGACTTGCTTGTTCCTCAGCGTGTAGATGACAGGGTTCAGCAGTGGGGTCACGACAGTGTTCACAAGAGCAGCCTCTCTGTTGGAGTCCAGCCTGTTGGTTTGCTTTGGTTTCAAATAGATAAATACACAGCTGCTGTACATCAGAGAGAGAATCATGTGATAGAATGAGCAGGTGCAGAAAGCCTTCTGTTGCTCCATGGTTGATGGGAGATGCACAATTGTAACTACTATGTGGCTGTATGTGATGATGGCTATAAGGAGGGATATCAGAATGACAAATATTGCAATGAAGAAGACATATGTTTCAAAAGAATGAGTGTTAGAACAGGAGAGATGAGTTAAGAGTCCAATGTCACAGAAGAAATGAGGGATAACATTGGGGCCACAGAAGGATAACTGAGAAACCTTCATTGCCAGACCAATGATGAAAATAAAGGACAAAGTATAGCAAAAGAAACCATAAGGAAACAAACTGTGATGGTTAAGGTTGTGTGTCAACTTGGCTGGGCCACAATTCTCAGTGGTTTGGCAGTTACAATGTAGCTCGGCAGTTACGTGAGGATATAATCACCTCCATGATGAGATCTGATACAGTGTGATCACCTCCATGGTGAGATCTGCTATGAGCAGCCAGTCAGTTGAAAGGGAGTTTTCTTGGGAGTGTGGACTGCATCCAATATATATATGGACTTTCTGGAAGAGTTTGCTGGATTTTGCTTGCTTTGGATCCTGTATCTAGCTCCTCCTAGTCCGGCCTTCCATTCTTGGGATGTGAGTCAACAGCCTGCCATCTTACCTACCAATCTTGGATTCATCAGCCTTCACAGCCTGTGAGCCATCAGCCTGCCATCTGACTTGCAGAGATTGAGTTCATCAGCCCCTGCAGCTACATGAGTCAGAGGAAACCTCTAGCCTGATTCTTGACCCATGGACTTTAGACTTTACAGACTCTACAACCATGTGAGCAACTTCCTTGATATAAATATCTCTCTCTCTCTCTGTATGTATGTATATATATGTGTGTATATACACATATACATATACACATATATATATACATACATACATACATCACTGGTTTTGCTTCTCTAGAGAACCCAGCATAAGACACAAACCCTCAGGTTCGTGATGGTAGAATAGTGCAGAGGATTGCAAGTAGCCAGGTACCAGTCTACGAACATCACACCCCTGAAGAAAGCAATTGTTGACCCAAGATATAAAAAGGAAAAGGCTTGTATGACACAGGCAATAAATGGAATGGTTTGCCTTCCTAAAAGAAAGATGGACAGCAGTTTAGGAACAACTGTAGTGATAAAAAAGCATTTGCAGAAAGAGAAATAGCTGAGTAAAACAAACATTGGCGTCTCGAGGGGATGGTCAGCCCAGGTGAAGGTAATTATCACCATGTTTCCTGTGATGGAGCCCAGATATGCCCGCAGATGCACCAGGAAGAGGACTTTCCCCAGATGCTGGACAGCAGGAAACCCCTCCAGGATGAATTCCTGGACTGCAGTCCCATTTATCATCTCCATACTGTAGTTACTTCCTTTTCTTTGTCATCAATTCTCTTTGATCTATTAGGCAGAAAACACCATCGCTGAAGAATAAAGCACTTAATTAGTGACCATAATTAAAAAAAAAAAAACTACTTGCAGCTATCATTCTTAATGAGAGATAATTTTCTATTTTTAAAATATAGTATTATAAATGATTTTGAATTTTTCCCTTTGTTGAATTCTTAAGAATTGAAGAATCTTTGGTTTGTGGTGATGTTGTTTTTGAGAATGATTTTTAATATATGGCTTAAATTTTTTGGAAAACAGTATTCTTGAATAATATAATGCAAAATGAACATAATTATTTTTTGTAGACAACTTATGTAACTAACAGATAACAATGAAGGTTACAATCCCTGCAATGGTTAAAATTGTGTGTCAACTTGACTGGGCCATGATTTTCAGTGTTTTGGCAGTCGTATAGTGTTATGATCACTTCCCTATTGAGATCTGATATGTGATCACCCTCATGATAGGATCTGCTGTGAGTAGCCAATCAGCTAAAAGGGAATTTCCTTCGGTTTGTAGCCTACATCAAATATAAGCGGACATTCTGGCAAGGCTTGGGGGCTTCTTGCTCACGCTGGATCCTGCAGCTGTCTCCTGTTCGTCTGACATCTGGTTCTTGGGACTTGAACTAGCAGCTTACCTGTGGTCTTGCCTGCTGATCTTGGGTTTCATCAGTCTTTGCAGCCTGTGAGCAGGAGCCCTACTCTCCGACCTGCAGATCTTGGGTTCACCAGCCCCTGTGTCTACGTGAATCAGGAGAAGCCTCTATCTTGACCCATAGATTTGGGACGTTCCAGCCTCTACAACTGCTTGAGCCATTTCCTTGATATAAATCTCTCTCTCTCTGTATATACATATATACTTTACTGACTTCGCTTCTCTAGAGAACCCAGCCTAAGACATTTGGTACTGAGAGTGGTTTTAGAAAAACAAAATTGTAAAGATGAGTTTTCTAAAATGGTTCTCAAGTCTGGTTAGTCTTAAAGATGTTGATGACTCTGCTTCCAGTAGTAAAAAGGACACTGCTAATCCATGGCATGAGGTGTCAATACAAATATGCAAAATATCACAACCAATAGATCAGGTACTGGTGAAAGGCAAGGCTCTGGATGATTGAGTGTATGATACCTTTCTACAATTTTGTCAGAATGAGGAGTATAAGGAAGCTGGTTGGTTGGTCCTACTTTCACCAGACAAACTGGAGAAAGAAAGAGATGTGCTCAGGTCTTCAGTGTCAAAGCTCAAGTGCTACATAAACAACCTCAAAGCTTCCACTTGTGCTTTGAAAGAAAGCCTTTTTTCTTGTAGTAACAGAGCTGATATTGCCACAAACCACACTCAGAGTCTTATTGTAAGTGTGGCTAATTACAACGCCTACTCAATTGCCAACATTTAGAGGTGTCTGAAGTTAAAGTGAAGGCATTGATTGGGAAGAAATGGGATCCTGAAACTTGGGATGGGAGCATATGGACAGATAATCAGGAAGCTGGAGACAGTGAGCCCCTAAATTCCATTGAATTACTTCTGCCAACAGAACCAGCCCTGTCACTCTCATCTGAAGAGACTACTCCATCTTTGTCTGCTAAACCACCTTCCCCAGTAAAACCATTAGTAGCACCTCCACTCCCATCTAATGAGATTAACCGAGCTGCATCTAAAGAGTCCTTGCCTGAGTCATTGTCTGGGGCATCGCCCAAGGCATATGCTTTACAAGACAATGCTGAATGTTCTCAAAACATTTCCACACTGCCTATTTTGGCTTCTAGACTTATAACTAGACTTAAGTTCCAGCGAGCCCCAAAAGGTGAAGTACAAAGTGTGACCCAGAAGGAGTTACACTACAATCCAAAAGAACTGCTTGATTTTTCCAATATGTACAAACAGAAACCTGGAGAATGTGTGGGAATGGCTACTAAGGGTGTAGGATAATGGTACAAGTAACATACAGATGGATCACTCTGAGTTTATTGATATGGACCCACTAAGCATAGAGTCTTCATTCAATGTTTCAGCTCGAAAAGTTAGGAAAAAATCTAACAGTTTATTTGGTTGGGTTGCTGAAGCATGGATTACATGGTGGTCTATACTAAATCAAGTTGAAGTACCAGACCTGCCTTTGTATACTGTAGAAGAAGTTATCAAAAGGTTTAGGGAAATTGGGCATGTTAGAGTGGATTTATCAGGTTACACTCACAGACCCACACATGAAGTGCCCAGAGGATACAGCTTTTACCACAACAGTGAGGAACAGATTTGTGAAGGGACCCCCAGCATCCTTGAAGACTGCTGTGATTGCTATTTTATGGAAGTCGGATTTGACAGTGGGAGGAACTGTCCTAACTGAATTAAGACACTTAACTACAATGGAGCTTGATTGGACCTCGTGGTATCTTTGGTTTTAGAAAGTTTGATTATCATATGTCTTGGTGACTTTCTTTTGGGGTCTAACCTGTATGGGGTTTGTTTAGATTCTTGGATGGAAATTTTCTTGTCTTTCATGATATTAGGGAAGTTTTCTGCCAGCAAATTTTCAAAGATTCCCTCTGTGCTTTTGTCCCCTCCTGTTCTGGAATTCCAATCAGGCTTAGATTTTTATTCCTCTTGTCAGTGTCCCACATAACTCTTAAGCTGTCTTCTTTTTTTCTGATTGTTCCTCAGTCACATTAGTATTAAGGGTTTTGTCCTCTATTTCATTGATTCTTTCTTTCTTTGATTCAATTCTACTTGTATGTCCTTCTTGCGAGTTCTCTGTTTATGATATTTTATTGTTAATCTTCTGGATTTCTAGTTGCTGTTTTTGTGTGGTTTTTAATTGTTGATTTATTTTGTCATTTTGTTCTTGTATTGTTTTCACGAATACTTCTAGTGTTTCATGTGTGTTTTCCTTAATTTTGTCTGTTTCCCTTTATCTCTTTCTTGATCTCTTTGAGGATTCTATGTATAAGTCTTTTGAATTCCTTACTCGGTTGTGTTATGGACTGAATTGTGTCCCCACAAAAACTATACGTCAACTTGGCTAGTCCACGATTCCCAGTATTGTGTGATTCTCTACCATTTTGTCATCTGATGTGATTTTCCTACATGTTGTAAATCCTACCTCTATGATGTTAATGAGGTGGGGTTAGCATCAGTTATGTTAATCAGGCAGGATTCAATCTACAAGATTAGGTTGTGTCTTAAGTCAATCTCTTTTAAGATATAAAAGAGAGAAGTGAGCAGAGAGACAGTAGGACCTCATACCACCAAGAAACAAGAGCCAGGAGAATAGCATAGCCTTTGGACCCGGGGTCCCTGCACTGAGAAGCTCCTCGACTAGGAAAGATTGATGACAAGGACCTTCCCCTACAGCTGACAGACAGAGAAAACCTTCCCCTGGAGCTGGCACCCTGAATTCAGACTTATTGCCTCCTAGACTGTGAGAGAATAAATTTCTCCTTGTTAAAGCCATCCACTTGTGGTATTTCTGGTATAGCAGCACTAGGTAACTAAGACAGGCAGTTACATTACCATATTTTCCCCAGGAAGTTTTTCTGGCCCTTTATTTTGGTTGCTTGTTTGAGCCATCTTGTTCTGCTTTTTTATGTGATTTGATATTGCTTGTTGTCTCCAAAGCATTAAGTTGTCATTTTATTTCTTGTCTGTTTGCTTTATCCTGATTTTTTGTTTTGTTTTGATATATCTGGGTGGGTGGTGAGGGCACACTACGCTGGTCAGTAGTCTGGCAGCGCTGGAGCTCTTACTACCTGTCTCCGGGTGGGTGAGTCAGCAACTGGTAGTGTGAGCGTGGGTCTCTATTCACTGTTCATGTGAGGTGGCTGAGGGCAAGTTGAGTAGGCACTGGCCACTCTCTGTCATCGGTTCAGTGGCGTGGAAGCAGGAGATGGTCCTCATCAAGTGGGTGGTGCGGTAAATGTGGTGGGTGTGTCATGAAAGCAGGCATACAGGAGCATGCTTTCCTTTTGCTGTTCACTGGGGAATTGGAGTGCTCTTGCACTTCCAGGACGTAGCAAGTCATCAGGCAGGGTTGATGTTGCAAAAGTGGCCCCTCACCATTTGGAAGGGTGGGTCACTGGACTGGGTTGTGCTTTCACCAGAGTGGTCCGGGCCACGGGGGGGCAGGTCACAGAGCAGGAGTCAAGGTCAGATGGGTGGGGTCACTGGGTGGTCATGTGCCACTCAGGGGGGTAGTATGTAACTGGGTGGGTGTGGGTAGCTGGCTGTGGGATGGGGGTAGGACAGGGGGAGGTGTCACCAGAGTGGTCCCATGCCTCTTGGGGGGGGCGAGTGGTGGGGTGATTGTCGGGGTCCAGGTGGATGTGGGCACCATGGCCTCAGTCACTTGGGGGGTGGCAAGGGGGAATGTCAGATGGGCTGGGTAGGGGGTAAAAATAGGGGGCTGGAACTGCAGTCCCCAGTGGATCGGGCTGGGGGTATAGTGAGATCTGTGTCTCTAGTCACCAGGAGTGAGGTGAAGGGGAACAATGTTCCTCAGGTGAAAGGTGAAATTATCTGGGCACTTCCCATTGGCTGCAGTCAGCTATCGTGACCTGGCCCCACTCAGGTGCAAGGTGGGAGGTGCCTGTACTCTGGTCAGGTGGGGAATCTATTGCTTGGTGCGTGCCACCCACCCTAATGGCCAGCAACAGCCGCTCTTGAGTAAACCTGCCTCTGGATCCTAGCTCCCTCCTTACTCTGTGGGCACCAGGATCGCTGGAACTCTTACCCTCCTTCCTGTGCTTTCCCTGCTTAGATCCAGATTTTATTCCACTCACCTTGCTTCCCTCCAGGTGTGTCTATTCAGTTTCTCTGTTTCTTATTGGGAATGCTGTGAAGTTGCCTTCCTGTGCTCCTCATCCAGGATCGCCACTAGCTTTGTCTCAAAATGGCCACGCTGAATCAGGATGGCTGGCAGAGTTCCTCTGCTCCATGTCACTCCTCGTTGGCTGCATTTGTTCAATTTCTCCTTCCAGTTGGTGTTCAAGTCAATACTTTATCCTTCCTTTTGATGTTCAGCGTTCCAGTATTGTCATCTCCATCTGTTTCACTTGGTTTTTTGGGTCTCTGCTGTAAAGGGATGGTGTGGTGTGTCTGACTAAGTCTCTATCTTGGCTACTCTCCTGCTTACTTTCAGTTTAATTTGCCCTTCTTTATTTA